TGGGCACCGGCGGCGCCGCCCTCGTCCACCGCAGCCCAGAGGAGTGTCCTGGTGGCCTCCAGGTGGGATCGACCAATGAGAATGGAAGGGTGGGGCAGGGTCGGCCAATGGGGACAGAGCAGCGGGCAGGGTCAGCCAGTTGGGATGGAGTGGTGCAGGCAGGGAAAGCCAGGGGGACGGAGGAGGGGGCCCTGCATCAGCCATTGCGGGATGGAGGCGTGATTGCCCAATGGGGATAGAGGGATGGAGGCGGGATAGGCCAATGGGGGGTGGAGGCCCGGTCAGCCAATGCAGGTGGAGGTGGGATTGAGCAGTTGGGAAGGGGGTGGGGGCAGAGTCAGGTAATGGGGATGGAGGTGAGGTTGACCAATGAGGGTAGGGGTGGGGTTGGTCTTAGCCAATTGGGAGAGATGGGGGGATGGCCAGTGGGGAGGGAGGGATGGAGGCAGGATCAGCAAATAGGGGTGGAAAATTGGGGGTGGCATTAGCGAATGGGAACGGAGGGCTGCGGGACCCTTGGGAAGGTGTTGGAGGTGATGGGGGCCAGGTCTCTGGGGGCAGGGCTTGAGGTTGGAGAGACCAATGGGGTGGGGCCTCTGCAGTGGTGGGTGGGGCTTGAGGTTGAGTAGACCAATGGTGGCAAGGTCTGGCACTCCCTCAGGCAGGGGTGAAGAGGTGGGTGGGCCTTAACCCTAGGGGTTGGGTCATGGCTATGGTGGGTGGGACTTGAGCGTCTGGGGGTGGGGCATGGCTTTGGGGGGCAGGGCTGAAGGCAGCCAGCCTCCCTGTTTTGTACCCACAATGCCTTGCAGCCACATCTCCCCCACCAACCCCTCTCCTGACCCCTCCATGTGTCTGGTCCTTTCCGCAGCCTTTCCAGAAGCTTCTGGACTGCACCCTCATCCCGGCGGCCTGCAGTGAGGTGGCCAAGCTGGGGGGCACGCTCAGCTCCTGCGCCCTCCTCATCAACAAGAAGCTGGACCTGTAGTGCCTTAGGGCCCCCCAAAATATGGGGGTGCCCTAACCCCCCACCTTCAGGGCTGGGGGGACTTCCCTCCCCTGCAGAGGCAGCTCCTGTGATCCCCCGCTGCCCCTCCTCCATCAGTCTCCTTCCCTCCCTCCCAAACTTGGGGTTCACTCAGCGCCTC